CCAAAGTTGTTGTTTTGGTAGAGTATAGAGTGCTGTTTGCATCATCTCCTCCCACTTCTAGTTGACTCTCTCTGCTTCCTGTTTGCAGTTGGAGTTATGATCTCTCAGCTTGCCGCTCCCAACATCTGCTGCCATGCTTACCCCACCATTATGGACTCTTCCCCTGGAACCATAGCCAAAATAAAGTCTTCTGTAAGTCATTTTGGTCATGGTGTTTTATCACAGTAACAGAAGAGTAACCAGAGGTTACCAAGGTTACATCCCAGTTACCTATGCCCTCCAACAAGGCCCCTTCACCGCCTTGATGGTAAGCCATCAAATTATCAATGGAATGATACAGTGATGAGGATAAAGCACTCATAGTCCAATCATCTTCTAAAAGCCAAATCTCTAAACATCACTGCAATGGAGACCCTTTGATGTTTGAGCCTTTGGGGACACTTCAGACACATACCCTCCAAAGCATTCTCTTCTGTGTTAAATGTAAATTTTTATCATGTGGGTTTCAACCAACACTACAGCTTCAGTTCTCTAGTGGCTGAAATGCAAAAATATTATATCCAGTGCAGTCTTCTGAAATGAGCTTCCTTCATTCTGTGAAATACCAACTTACCCAGATAACACATGGTTATGGTATATTCCTTTTTAAAGATGTATGTCGTCTGGGCAGAGTGCTATAATTTATTCAAACTCCTGAAATAAACACTTGGGATATTTTGGTATTTTTTTTCTATTACAAGCACAATGCTGCCAGTACAGATTTGCAAGTATTTTTTAAAAGGAAAGGATATATACCTATGAGTGAAGAATTTACATATGGATACACATACGTGTGTCCACACATAGATTTTCAACTTTATGTTTTAACTTTCCCCCCAAAGTGACTAGGCACATTTACATTGTCTATGCCAATGTATCAAATTGATCAGATTCCCACTTTGCAAACCTTAGCATTATTGGGTTAATATCGATCAACTTAACATAAAACCTATCCCCCTTAATCTTTCATCTGCAATTGATAGGCTAATGATAAGCCTGAGAAATACTTATATTTTATTCGCTGCATGGATTTAATGCTGTACTTTATGTCTGCCATACAGTTTGGGTATTTTCCAGCTGGATTTTTGTGACTGTATTGACTTTCAGTACTGGGGATGGAACCAACAGTCTTGTGTTTCTTGGATACTTTGCCACTGAGCTAATATCGCCAGCCCCTTTCTATTTTATTTTGATTGGCTGGCTAAATTGTCCAGGTGGCCTCAAACTGTTTTCTCAGACTTCAGAACAACTGAAACGATAGGGGAGCACTGGCCTGTCCCCTACCCTCCCCCTCCCACCTTCATGCATATTCTCGGTATTGTCAGTGCTGGGTGATGTATGTTGAATATTTCTAAATACATATGTTTCCCCCAATTCACTCTCAGAGTTCTTGCGGTCTAAAATGGTTGACTTTAAGTCCTGGTATGTTCTTTCTTTATTAGTAACGGCTTGTGTTTGTGGGATGAGAAGGTTACAGGGCACTTTCGAAACCTTATCTCAATGGACTGTCACTGTCTCAGCGTTAAAAAGACAAGATAACTATTAGCATTCTTGTTTTACAGGTAAGGGAACTGAGCAGCCGTCCCAGTATTGTAGGGCTAAGTCCTCAGACTCAGCATCCTATATCCTTTGTAAGATTATATGATGCCTCAGCTGTTTGTAGATTATGGCTTATTCATTAAAAAAATACTCTCTGCTCAGCATCATTACCTCTCTCTCCCATCATTTCTTCTCCTTTCTCCCCCTTTCTCCTCCTTTTCCTCCTTCTTCCCCCCTCCTTCCCTCTCTCCTTTTCTTTTGTATATGATACCAACATACCCTGCTCTTTAGAGTTCATTTTAATTCCATTATCTACAAAATGAACAACGTATAAGTCAAGAAAGCCCCAAGACAATTTTCCCTAAATTCAAAAAAAAATTTTATTTGTTTATCATGTGGGTAGGGCGGGCATTTGTACGAAGCAACCTGTGTGTGGTCAGAGGACAACTTAGAGTCAGTTCTGTCCTTCTACCATGTAGGTCTCAGGGGACAGGACTCAGGTTTTCAGACTTGGCAGCAAGCTCCTTTACCTGTTAAGCTGTCTCATTGACCCTCTAGATAATTTTCAAATTGGGATTTTTTTTTGAGAGTCTTGAGCAAAATTTAAAAAAAAAACAAAAGATTTGCTTATTCTTTAATAAACTCTGTTTTTAAAAAGCGGTGGATCTGGGTGCAGTAGGGTGTGTTTGAATCCCTGCACTCCAGAGGCATAGGCACAGGGATGGATATCTGGAAGTTCCATGGCAGTGAAAGTTAAGAAGACTAATATAGGAAAATATGCTTTTAACATTTATTGTCTAATTTGGTGGCTTTGTTTCTCTCACTCTGCATTATAACCTCTATTTGCTGTTGCTAATATAATTAATGCCCATATTGTGGTTAATATTGAAAATGATCCTATTATTCAACCTCTAGCTGAAGCAAACCTGAGCAGGAGAGTAATATCTCTAGAAGAGATATTACTCTTCTGGGAGAGCTAGAGGAAACGGAGTTGAAAGATGCCTCAATTTAGCTCTCAAATAGAAAAAAAAAGTACTTATTGATTTTTCTAGTTGTAAAATAAATGCTTTTCTTAGATAAAGAAATTCTCAAGCTACACTACTACTAGCACACCTACTCCTACTTCTTGTGCTCGTTAACTTATTTCATTTTATTTTTGACAGTGTCTATTGTAGCCCACATTAGCCTCAACTCACTTCGTAGCCAAGGATAGACAGGCGACTTGGAATTTTTGATTGTCTTGCGCTACCTCTGGAATACTGGGATTATCCTCATGTATCACCATGCCCAGTTTCTGATGTGCTGGGGAATGAACTCAGGACCTTGTACAAAGAAAGCTAGGCAAGCATCCTGCCAACTGGGGCCCACCCTCAGCCACCACTCTTTAACCTTCTGCTGTTTTGATGGCTGTTTCTATTTTTGTATGCATTGCAGACATCAAAGACAAACTATGTTTGATGAAACTAGCAGTAACAAGAAAGGACCTGGGGATAAATAAGGAAACAGAAATCCTATTCTGAGGTACTCTAATCACCAGCTAGAAGGTAAGCACTTAAGCACTTCCGGGACACATCCCTTGATGACTAAGAAAGAGACACGCCCACATCATTTCTTCTACAAAGAGAAAGGTCTTTAACAGCGACTATCTGTAATCTACAGGTAAATACTAAATACGGCCTTTCCTAGCTTTCTTTCTACGATTATTACACCCGCAGTACTCATCTATCAGTATTTCCACATCCTTGTCCAATTTGAAACTGGTCATCTTTTTTGTTTTGCTCACGGCGCTGCCCTTGGCACGTGTTTTGAGCTGAGTCTGAGAGCTGTATGTGTTCCATGACAATCGCTGTGTATGTGAAGATGAGCTCTCTGTGTGTATTTCTTTTGTGCCTGGCTCCTGCAGCTCACGTTAGTTAGGGATAATTACACCACAATGTGGTAGCACAAGAAATCTGTGTGCTAGGGCAAGGGGCACCTAACGACAATGGAATTTAACCCTGTGTTTGGAGGGTACTGGGTGAGTTGGGTGTTGGTAATTTCAAGTTTCACATACTTTACAATTGTGGGTCATTACAGGCTGCTAATTTAAGGGGAGAGTCACTCCTAACTGGGCAGCTTCTAGAATCACCTAGTCCTGAGGTTCTCAACCAGAGAGGAAGGGGGAATGTGTGTGTGTGTGTGTGTGTGTGTGTGTGTGTGTGTGTACATGGGGATATTACTTTTGGGAGTCTGTTCTCTCTTTCCACCATACGGATCCTGGTATTGGAACACAGATCAAGAGGTTTGGCATCAGATACCTTTGCTTGCTGGCCCACTTATTTTATTTTTAAGAAGTGCATCTTTTCATTAACTGCTTTAACAAAGAGGTTTGTGAATAAGGTGGCCATATAATTTAAAGTCCACTCTGGGACAAGGGTTGAGATAGGTCGGACACTGGGACAACAAACCGGATAGGGGATGTCCCAGGTAAATAAACAGGGTCAGGCTGTTTATAGAGGGAAGAGTGCCCCAAGCCTTTTCTGAGGTAAGGTTGGAGGGTTGATTTGGTGGAGTCTTTCTTCCCTTAGGTGGACAATGCCCAAAGCCCTAGACATTTCCTGCACATGATAAGCCGAGGGGCAATTTTAAACTCTTTACAAGGGAGTGTAATCCTAATTAAAAGTAATGTTTGAGCTGGATAGTTCAGTGGTAGACCAGTTGCTTGCCATGCATGAGGCTCCTAGTTCAATCCTTCAGCATCTCCCCCTCCTCAATCTTAAAAGACTGTGCTAAAGACCCGGCTTCAGGATAGCGCTGTTTGCTGACACTTCAGGGAAGCCAAGAAACCCAAGAACAGAAGAACTCACAAAAATGTCTACTGTGATGTCTCCCCAGCATGTTCTCTGGGTGAAGACATGTCTGAGACCCAGACATGGTACCTGTGTCCCTGCGTGGTCTGTGGAGTCCGGTCAGTCCATCCTTTTAAAGATGCAGGACAAAGCTTACCTCAAACCTGACAGAAATCACCCACCTGAGCCTTCAATGCAGAGACTTCCCTAAGGCTTCACCCCGCCCACCAGCTCAGGTCCCGCCCACCAGCCGAGACACCCAGGTACGTTCTCTTACTTCAAGCT